TAAAATTTTAATTTTTTTAATAAAAATTTATTAAAACGATGTTATTTTAAAATAATTTTTCTCCTAACTTTTATAAAATAAGATAAATAAACATTAATTGCAATGTATATATAGTATATTCGCTATTTCTCTATTTAATATATTGGGAAAAGTTCATTCAATGTAACATTTAAGCCAAGAAAAGTAGTTATAAGATGCTTAAATAGTTTTGATGTCAAATCAATGTTAACTCCTCAATGAAGAAAGACTAACAAGCGAGTAAAATTATAATAAAACCTTTCAATCTGTCAAGAATAAAGATATATTATAGTTTTATCACATAAATTAAAGGGATGTGCTAATTTGTACCCTAAAAATATATACTAAGGATGTATTAATTGTATTTATTTTTATAAATGATTATAAAAAAAATATAAAATTTGATTTTAATTTTACAAATAGTTCAATCAAGATCATATACATATTATTAGCACTAAAAAGAAAATTAACTCTATTATTTTTTTTATATAATTTAGTAAAAAAATTTACAATAAATACATAGATTAGACAAATTCTAAATTAAAATTGTCAACTCAAACCAAAATGAAAAGTAATTAAATTGCTCTAAGCTCAAGTTCGGTACAAATATATTTAATAAGCTTACATTCAAGCTTGAGATTGAATTGTTTGGGAAGCACTTCACCTGATGCTTTAATTGCCCCAAAACTTAAGTGGAACAAAGATTCTTTGAGTGCCAAAAAAGGAAAAGTGGGTCAAAGTTAGAGGACTTGATTAAATGTTGCTCCTTGTGTAAATAAAAAGACAAGGATGGAAGGAACATGTTTTTGTTATGTAGCGGAGATGGAACGTGGAAGCTAACCTCACAAGTGACAGCCGGTATAAGAAATGACAGCAGTGAAAAAGAAGACGTGGTTAGTTATGGTTCTTCAGGTGGGCCCAAACATCAATGGTAATAAAGAAGGCTTTGATGTGACGGCGGTCACAGCCTTGTGCGCATCGCATGTTGCAAGAAAATAACCCCTTCATTCAATTCCGTTAGACAGTCGGATTTACCAACATAGCCTTAGGGACGCTTTTTTTTTTTTTTTTTGACAGTAGCCTTAGGGGACGCTTTTAATAGCTTAATGGAAGTAGGATCTTTTATTTTGATTTTTTTTTAAACATTATTTTTATTTTATTTTATTTTAAGATAATAATTATTAATCATTTATTAATTATTGTTATTTGAATAAAGCTTTCGAATATAATTGTTTATCTGCAAAATTTAGTGTTTAGATTTAATTAGTTGAAAATTTAATTTTTATTAATTTTAAAAAAAAATCTTTTTGTCT